GTGGAGTCGGAGCGGGCGGCGGCGCAGAAAGCCATCATCAGGGTCATCCCGCTCAAGGTGGAGCCCATCATCCTGGAAGGGGAGTTCGCCAACGTCGCCGAGGTGACTCCGGCCGAAGGGAAACTGCTCCAGGTAAGAGCAGCGGCGCTGGTCCCTCCCCAGCCCGGCCCCCGTGTCCCCTTGTGCAGCTCCGCGTTTGTGCCGCGCTCCGGGCGCTGTCCCCGGGCTTCGGCCGAGCCTGCTAGCAGACGTGTTTCCCACATTGCAAGGGATCTGCTGGTTACACTTCCTTGGGGGCCGAGCTGCGCCTCGCTGCTGCTGCTCAACTGTGCATGTGCTCGGCTGAGTCCATCGAGATCATTTCCTATCTTAACTGATGTTATAAAGCTGAGTGTGTCGAGTCACATGTCGGGATGTGAAACATCCGACAGAAAACAGGACTGGTGGTTTTTTCTCTGGAATCCATGAGGTTTTCCACACTCTATGCCGAGGTCGGGGTTCAGTTTGAGCTCCAAAACCCATCCTGGCTGTGGCCACCAGGATCCCTGGCCCTGCTGGTTGTTGCCTGTACCTGGAGGGTGAATGTTCCCTACACAGGAGCTCCAGTGGTGGCACCACCAGGTATTTTCATAGATGAATTACTGCTGTTCTCTGACCTTTATTAACGGGAGAGTGTCTCCACACTGGGGTAGGAGGTGCAGGTGCTGCACAGCCAGAGCTGAGCCATTCACTGAACAGATCCATCTCCTGCACACACTTGAGTTTGGAGCTTGGTTTCCTGACACCTGGTGTGTTTTCTCTCCATTCTGTGGCTCATCTGCCTGGCAATTGTGTGCTTTATTCTTGAGAACAACAACAAAAAAGAAAAAATAGCCTGTGTTAGTATTAAGTATTAATTTTCTTCTGGATTTTTCCAGGACTTTCCAAATGGGATATTTTGAAATCTTAATTAAATTTGTAATCTGGAAATTTAAATAAAAGTAATAAATTTTGTGTAGTTTTTTAAGAAGAGAAGGACAGTTGAGCCAGCTTTAGAGCATGGTCAGCTGTCTGAAAGTAAACATGGACAGTTTGTGACATTAATAAAACCTGCTTTTCCATGTCTTTTGAACTTCTTAGAATGAAATCTCTGCTATAAAATTATATTACCAGGCTAAAAAAAATATCTGAGACAAATGTACTCAAGGTCCTCTTCTGTTGTGAGGCAATGTCCAGGAAAGTCAATATTTATTCCTTACAAAAGCTGCAGTGATGTTGCAACCGAGCACAAAGTATAGAGTAGGACCTTTTGGAAACGGGAGGATGATAGCCTGTCCTGAGGGATGTGTGGAGGTTTCTAAGCAAATGAAGCAGTGCCAGGTGGGAATTTTGTGCCATCACAGCAGCATCAAGCAGGTGTTTGCAATAAAAAGCTGTGAATAGTGTCCAGTTTCATCCTTTAGAAGTCATCCTCCAGATGGAGCGGGCTGGGGAAGCTGTAATGCAGCCTGTTGAGTTTGGGCACACGGACCCTGGGCTGGCCTGGGTGTGTTTCAGGCCCTGACTGTGCCCCTGTGTGTGCTCAGCTGAGCTCCTGCCCCGCATCCCCTGGAGCCAGCGCGGGCTTTGGGGCGGCAGCGCTGGGACAGGGGTCAGGCTGTGCCTCCTGCAGCAGGATGTTTGCCCGGTGCCAGGCACTGCTGGGGCTTAGCCAAGCGTTCCTGTGACCTCTCCTGCGGATCTCAGGCTGTGCTTTCTAATTCTGCTGCTAAACATCGAAACTTGGCCGATAAAACAACATTTAGAATCGTTTGGGTCCTGATCCAGTACTGGGTTCTTACCTCTGGAAAGAGGAAACACGAAATGGGGACGTAACTCTTCAGGTACAAAATAAGGAAGAAATCAGTGGGACAAACACTTTTCAGTTTGCTTTTAGACACTGGGATATTAAACCCACCAGAATCAGGCTTTATTGGGGCATCTCATTTTGCACATGGCTGTCAACACCCCAATCTTGCAAAATGTCGGGCCACATGCTTAACTTGGATGTCACTGGAACTCCTGCCTAATAAATAAACCTAAAGCTGTGCAGACACACCTGCACAATTGCTTCTTCAAATGTAGTTTAGCGACATAATACAGTAGATTTAGTTATTGAGTCAAGAAGTGGGGCTTTTACAGCATTTTTGGAAGGGTCTTGGTTGTGTCAGGCTCTGGAAGGTGCAGTCAGCCTGTCCAGGAGAACACAAACTGCAGAACTTGGCTTGGAAGAGAGGTATGGATGGCCCAGTCCTGTTTCCAACGCAATATTCTCTTCCTGCAGAGGTAGAACAGGATTGCCCAAGGATCAGTATTGCAGAGTTGACCCTGTAGTCAAGTCAGGTTTTCTTTATTATGACTTATAATTATCTTCATAGTGCTCTGGTCAATATATTTTTGGAAATGGATTCTTAATTTAATACAGAAAACCCTGCATGTAAATGATGGAGGCTCACCAAAGGTACTTTTTCCAGAATGTTTTCCTGGTTTCGTTTCTCCTTGCCCCATTTTCCAGGATCATCTACAGCAATGGACTTTGGTTGTGTGTGTTCCATCTTAGAAGCCAACTTTAGCGATCTCCTCTCTACCTGCAATAAAAGAGCCCCAGTGCTGAATTCCCCTCTCAGCCTTTGCCCCCATGAGTGGTTTTGTGGGGAATCTCTGTATTTCCATTGCTGCCCAGTGGGTGAGCAGGAAGGTGCCAGGGAGCCGCCATCCCTGCCACTGTCACCCTGGCACTGTTCCTCTGGCACTCCAACCCTGCTGCTGCTGCTGCTGCCGTGTGATGCAAAGGGAGAGGAATTTCTCAAGCAGGCAGAGCCACTTAAGCCTTTATAGGTCAAAAAAGCAACACCTCAGACTTCTTGCAGAAATCATCTCCAGGCTTGTGCAGTGCTCCAGCTTGTTCAGGGAGCTCAGAGCATTAACTCTTGCTGGACACGGGAAGCACCTGGGTTACTCACTGGCAGTTTCCAAACTAGAAATTTATGTTTGGAGGTTTAAATCAGGAAGGAATTGTTCCCTGGAAGGGTGGGCAGTGCCAGGCACAGGTGCCCAGAGCAGCTGGGGCTGTCCCTGGATCCCTGGCAGTGCCCAAGGCCAGGCTGGACACTGGGACAGGGGAAGGTGTCCCTGCCATGGCAGGGTGGCACTGGATGGGTTTGAAGATCCCTTCCAACCCAAACCATTCTGGGATTTTGTGATCTCTGCTTGGCCACTGCAGGAGCCTGAACTGTTGTTAAAAGTCCTTTGGGAGTCAAAACCTGGCCCTTTGTTACAGATGGAGGAACCAAAGCTTTTACACAAGTAGGAAGGAACGTGCATGGAACTTACCAACAATGGACAATCCATGAGCAACTCAGGATTTGACATGCCCTCGAAATTACAGTTCCCATGGCTGTTTGCAGATGAACTCCCTTTCACAGGATTGCTATAGAGATTTTTCAGCTTCTTTTTTTGATACTTCTGCCGCTCTGTTGGCTGACTTTTCAGGAATAAGTCTCAGTTTCCTTCTTGCTCTTGACTCAGTCTCCACTTGGTATTGGAGAGAGCTGATGTTGGTTTGAAGGTAAATAGGAAAATAAGGAATGTCTTGGAAAGAAAAGGAGAGTCACTGGAGAGAGTTGAGAGGAGATTCCTCTAATTTGAGTTACATGTGCAAATCTTATTGTGAAAGAAAAAAAATCTTTATGTTTAAGATCTAGTTCATCACTTACAGTCTGGTTTAGGACAGTTCAAGGATGATCAAGATTCAAGGGTGCATTATAAAAACTGAGCATTAATCTCTCTTAATTTGAGTGTGTATAACCCTCATCTTCTACACAGGGGAAAGGATGATTTCCTTTAGTCTGTGCAGAGTGGCAGGGGCTGGTACAGTCTAATCTAGGGTATTTGAGAAAAAGTGTTAAAAGTTTGGGAAGAGTCTCTATTAATGATATTTAAAAAGAGATGGATAACCTCACATCAGGGAGGGCAAAGTGATCAGCATTCCCAATCCCTTCACGTGCTGACACAGAGAATTCCAGTGCATGTGTGGGACAGTAGCACAGTCTTACTGGGCAGGCAGTGTGTAGAACTAGTGAATCCATTATTTCACTGCAATTTCATTCCATTTCTGTACAAACTCAGCAGTTTCATAATGAGGGGATTGTAGGAGAAAGTCAAGTTTCACTTACCCACAGAGTGCAGTGTTTTAACTTACCACTTCAGGAAAACACCTTGAAGAAAATAAAATCAAACCTGAAAAAACCCACAGAAAAAGCTCCCTAAAGGCTCTGAACCCCCAAACCAAGGATTATCCTCCTTCCTCCTCTCCCCCCTGAAAAATAATTATTTTAAAAACATTCAGATTGATCTATTTAGGATGGATTGAGTGAGAACTGGAGGAGGAGCCTGAATTGCCTTTTTTTTTAGGTGGCATGTACCATTCAGAAGGAGAAAATCAATCACAGATCCAGTTAGAGGAGGAGGGTTCAGAAGAGCAGTGATAATTGGCCCTTGGAATTGCTGTAATGAACGCTCTGGGATCACCCTGGACAAAGGAGACTGTTCCCAGTGCTGCAGTGCACTTGCAGCTGGAATTGGAATCACCTCTGCTCCCAGAGGTTCCCACTCCCAACCCATTCCACAGTAAATACCTGAGCAGTCTTCTTACTCCCAGCTCCTGCATCCACAAAAGGATGTTGAGTGCATAATGTTGACAGAGATCAAAGAAGTGGGAAAGTCGAACCAAATGATAATGGGGACTTAAATTACATGTGAATAAACTGGTCAGATAGCACAATGTGAGGCAGTTCAAAGGAGCAGTTCTGCCTCTTGGAACAGCTCGTACTCGAGTTCACAGACTTGACTTGGCATTAAGTGATGTGCCAGAGCTGCCTCAGAAGCAGCAGCAATGGAGCCACTTGGCCTGACTGCAGCACAATAAAAATGGACCAAAAAGTGACTCTGACACAAACCATTAACGGGAAATTGCACTGAAACTCTGGGAGGAATGGCTCCTCCAGAGGAAAAAAACCATGTTTTTACATAGCACGTGGATACTGCTCAGGAAAGGCTGAGACATTTGGAAATGTTTAGCCTGGAAAAAAGAAGTTCCAGGGTTACCCAATCGT